GGAAATGTCTGGTTCACAGTAATATACCTTTTTATAATCTTCATGCATGAAACATTCAAAGAAGGTCACACACTCAGAATAAGTCATAAAAGAAAAATCAACATCATTGAAAATGGTTTTCACACCACCAGTGTAAGAGAAAGGATTACAAGTAAATACTCCTTGGTAATTGAGTTCCACCATTACAAATAGTCCATTAGGTGCCGATTGTACCACTGGAGCAACTTCTTTGGTACTTCAGCTCGATCACAAAAGTGCTTCACAAACCCTAGCTCAATTTCGTTTATAGTGAAAAACGACGAATGAAGGTCAACAAGTGAAGATGATAGGTTTTAAGCTTTGTATATCATTTATTGACGTTGCATATCTCACATGTCATCGGATTATCCAAAAAAATAAATATTAATTGACACATATACAATGTCAACCGGGAAACCGTTTAAAAGCAGGGAAAATGACTAAATTGACAGGTTAAATACGAGTTTAGTGGTCTAATGTACCAAAAAAATTTAGTGACCAAATTAGACAATTGTCAAAATTTATGTGCTACATTGTTACTTCCCCTTATTTAATATATAATTTTTTATTTTTCAGATTTAACAAAAAAAAAGAGTTTATTTGATAACCCTTTTTAGCCTTATTTACCATGAGTTTATATACGTAAATATAAAATCGATTTTAGGCTATCAGAGTTTGATTAAATCCGAACATTTTTATCAGTTTTGGCATCAGATACGGATTTATAATTTAACTATTAAACGAACAATTATTTTTTACAATACGAACATGATGTCGAGTAGTTAATAATATCTACATGTTTTAAAAATACTATAAAAAAATTGTAAGTTGTAAAACAAAGTTATAGATTCTGATGAACCAACTTCATATATACGAACAAAATTTTAAAAAGTTATGATTAATGTCGATTTTTAGGCTATTGAAATCCAACAAATTGTTTAAAAAATAACCGGAAAAAATTAGTTGATTTTAAAAAGTTATTTATTTACTTGAAAAATTAGTTGATTTTAAATTGGAAATAAAAAATAAATCCAACCACGTAATTATTTGTAAAAATCTTTAAAAAATAAATAAATAAGAAAAAGTTAGAAAAATAAATGCTTTAACGTCAAAACAGTTGAAGTAGTATTTTTTTTTAATAATAAAATACATTTAAATATAAATAATCTAAAGAATTAATTGAAGGCGGACAGGTTAGCTGCACCTGATCTCACATCGGCTAATTGAAGGCGGACAGGTTAGTTGCACCTAATCTCACATCGGCTGGGAAGGAGAACTAATCATTTGTTATAAGGAGTGTGGATACCTTCCCTAACACAACACGTTTTAAAGTCATAAGGACAGCATATCCCATAAGAACTCTGCAGTTAAGTGTGCTCGGGCGAGAGTAGTGCCGGGGATGGGTAACCCCCTGGGAAGTCTTCGTGCCAAGTGGCCCAAAGCGGACAATATTGTGATACGCGTTGGATGGGGATGTTACAGCTCATTCTCAGCCTCCATCACCTTTCTAAGCCATGAAGAAACCCTAATCTCTTTTCCTTCATTTTTGAAGCTTGTTTTGGTACTTTTGGTAGATATTGAAGGAAGAAAGAAGAAGAAGTGAGCCAAGATCCAGCAAGCAAGTTTCCATTCCACATTCTAGCACACTTTCTGGACCTTTGTAAGTGTCTAAGACTCAATCTTTATGTTTTTAGGTTGCTAGATCTATAGTTTTGTCCCATATTCTTCTTATTCTTGTTAGTTGGAATGGTGAGATCCCATAAAGTTTGCAACTTTATGAATCTCTGGGACATTTGGAGTGGTTGGTGGTTTGGATCTGAAGTATGGTTGGATTTTGATTCATGCATTATATTTTTGGTCATAATCCTTATTTTGACATAATATGAGTTCAAGACATGCATTATACATGCATGTCTATAAAGCACTAGCTTTTATCTTAGTTTTGGTGTTAGAAACTCTTTTGGAGTTGATGGGCTAAGAACTTTAGAGATTAAGTGCTTAATGGTTAAGTTCATGTCATGTTTTGCCTTTATTGGATCTAGGGTTCGAGATCTTGATCTCTTGGGGTCTTAACCATAGGAAGGACCGTATATGAGCTTTGGAGTTGTAGGGATCAAAGGAAACAACTTAACCCATTAAGTTGTTAAGAACCCAGTGCCCACGTTGTGCCATTCTGATCGCCACGGCGTGACAACTAGAGGTGTAGCGACTGTTTTGACTTGAGTTGACTATTGGTCAAACTCCTAGTTTTGGAAGATGGACTAAGTTTTTTACCTCGTGTGACTGTCTAGGTGGTGTATAGCATCTGTATTTCGGCGGTGAGAGCAGTATTAGTTGATTATCATTTGGAAGGTGAGTCTTCTCACTATACTTGTCGGTCAAAGGCACCAACGTCCGCCCACCGGATTGTGTAATGTAGGATGCTAGTTGTATTTGTGATACTTGCATGGAAGACCCCAGGGGTAGCACGTAACATTTGTTTGGAAGACCATGATGGTAGCCCATAACACTTGTGTGTAAGACATTGGGGTAGCCAAGGCACTGCGAGGGAAGATCATCAGGGCAACCCTTGTTTTTATTTCGTATAGACATTAATTTCACTTTGATGTTAATAATATTGATATTATGGTCGATTTGGAACAATTTGGTTGTACTTTTGGAGGCTTGAAAAATAAAAATTTACTATCATTTTGGGAAGTTACAAAGTCACATGTGATCCTAAAAATCATAAAAGTATTCTTTAATAATTTAATAACAACATCAACATTTCTCGAGAATTTTACTACATTTAGGAATGAGAGGTAGATATAGATGATCATGCCTCCATATAGAGAAGAGAGGCTATATCACACATAAATGACCTCCGACATATGTAAACAAACAAGTTGCAATGCAGGAAAATAAGAGGAGAATAAGTCAAAATAAGCAATGATCCTAAAACATAGATAAATGACAATACACACATCTTATATTTGTAAGTGATACAAATGTAATGATGAGTAAGTTAATGAGCCAATAAAAATAAGCTAATACAACATCGTACAAGCATATAAGCATGAACTAGGTAACAACATAATAGATTAGAAAATGAAGAGAATAAGTGGGGTTAGACAACTCATTAACCCTAATGTTTAACTTCCACATCCTCCTATCAAGGTTATATCCTTATAATTAACATGATATTTCCTGTCTAGCCCACATAGTCCTCTTACTTCCTTCGACCTGCTCTCATTCTCTTACCATCGATCATCATTGATTAAGTCATCCTTAGTGTAGCTAGATGGTAACCATTTTTTGACTAGTCAATATTCAACACATTCCTTTAATATTTGACACTTCTAAATAATTTTTACTTCATGATTCTTGAAATGTTGAATGTTGTAGTATGTTTAACAAGAATACATTGTTTTATTTATTACACCCATTATATATATATATATATATATATATATATATATATATATATATATATATATATATAAACAAGATCATGTGATGATTTTTTTTTTCGGTGAGGACTCGTGAGGACATCTTAACAAAATTGAATAAAAATTAAAAAAAATATAAATCATAAAATCGAGCATGGTACTATATTGCAGAGAAAAAAATTGAAAATTTTTTTTGGGTCATTAACTTTGAATCATTCATCATTTTTTATGATTCATAATTCATGTTTTATGATCCATGATTCAATTTTAATGATCCATTTTTTTCTCTCCAATATAGTATTATACTCAATTTCATGATTTATATTTTTTTAATTTTTTTAAGATGTCCTCACGAGTCTTCACCGAAAAAAAAGTCCTTACCGGAACCGCACCATATATATATATATATATATATATATATATATATATATATATATATATATATATATATATATATATATATATTAAAAAATACGAAAAATATAATTATGTGGAGTGGTAGTATTTTATAGTGGTGTAATTTAAATGTGATGATAATATGGGATTGATGTGACAACATTTTTTATGTGAGTGTGGTGAGTATATCTCATGGTCTAATAAGCTCAAAGAGTAAGAATTAAGAAGATAAATATGAAAAAGTGAAAAAATAAGATAGAGCATGAGATGAGAGGTGGAATTGAGAAACTCATAATAAGATTATAGGGAAAATTGTAAAGAGTAAGTCGAAGAGACAAAAGAGTGAAGTCGTATATGTGTGTTAAATTTTTGATCTAGCTGATTGAGTCATTTCTACATTAAGGAATTAACATTATATATATATATATATATATATATATATATATATATATATATTATATATATATATATATATATATATATATATATATATATATATATATATATATATATATATATATATATATATATATGGTTATGGTTTTAATTTATCAATTAAAAAATCTTGCATATAAATTAACAACTTATTTTTGAGTTAAATTTTTTAACTACAACCTTACTCGTTATTTTTATACCGTGTCAATCCATTTAATTATATGAATCGAAATCTCTTAAAACTCCTTTATGTTGTGTTGCTTTACGAGATACATACAAGAATGATAGTAATTTATAAAGTAAATTAGTTTTACATTTATCCTACGGATATGCAAGCATTTTAGAAAGCACCTTTAATAATTAATTGTAATCGAACATTTTTTTTCATTAAAATCAACCATTATATATATATATATATATATATATATATATATATATATATATATATATATATTCTAATAAAGAATCAAAGATAGCATATATCTTTTAGTGATTAAATATAATTTTAATGCTTTGATACTAGGAAGTAAGGCACAAACGCGTAAAAGTTATCCGGATTCTGCGTTTCAGGAAATGGGTCGCGATGGTGTGGTCAGGTAGTCTAAAAAAGAGGCCCCTCGGGCGTGTGATAATTTGTAACGTGTCTTATTGGTTACTATTTATTGTGCAACCTCCTACGATCCTACCAAACCGAATAATGGAGTAATCCTGCATCATGTTCTCATTTATGAGAAATGTTTATTTCTAGCAATTTACTCGGGAATAAATGTATATTTATATAATTATGCTTTTCTATTATGAATTTATTATAAAGATCATCTTTAACATGGATTATATAACTGAAAATTTAACTTATTATTGCATATTCATTATTTTATGCTTACATAATATTGTAAAAATGGTTTAAAAAAAACAAAACTCTTGCATAACTTGACATGAATAAGCTCATTTGATTACATAAATTAATATACATATATTTATTGTTTTATTGTAGGAATATTTTATGGTGTATGGGGTTAACCTATATACAATCGCCGCCATCATAAGACGATTACCTACCCGACCTGCTAAGGCTTTGCCAAAAAGAATGATAGAATAGAAA